CTCACTGGCAGTGGCGGGGGAAGAGGAGTGACCAAGCCTTATCCCCTGGTTCTCAGCTGCATTGCGTCGCTTCCTCCTGCTGTAAGTCAGTAGGAGGGAAGGATGGGTGACCTCTGCTGCCAGTGCCAGGCCCCTGCTAATCCCATGGGAACCAGGGTGGTTGGAGGGCTGCAGACCTTTTGCTTCTCTCCCCCCCGCCTCCCACATTGGGAGGGCACATGACCATTCCTCCCCCTCCCCACGCATTGCTTCTACTTGCTATAGGAAACTTCTGTTTGCACTGAAGACTAATCAAAAGCAGCTTCAGGGCATGTTATTTTCTGTAGCTACATGTATTTTAAGCTAACATGCTCTGTCATTTTAGGACAACATCGGAGAGCTGGATCCTGACAGGCAATCAGAACTTAAAGCCCAAAGGAAAAAAGAGGAAGATGAGAAAGAGAAAGGCAGAAAGAAGGCTGTCCTCTTCGGAACCAGTGATCTTTGTGACTCTATATTAGCCACAGAAGAGAAAGTGAGCTGTATATGCCCTTTAGATTTTCAAGAAGCCAGAGAAGTCTTCCTAGTCGGTCAAAATTATGTTCATGAAGCAAAAGAATTTTTTCAGTTTGATGGCTATGTTACTGACCATATTGAAATTGTTCAGGACCACAGTGCCTTGTTTAAGGTGCTTGCTTTCTTTGAAGAAGATTATGAGAGACGCTGCAAGATGCACAAGCGTAGAATAGATATGTTGGAGCCCATGTACGTGGATTTGAATCCACAGTTTTACCTGCTGATCAGTAGGCAGCTTCAGTTTGAATTAGCAGATACCTATTACGAGATGATGGATTTAAAGGTAGCTATTGGTAATAGGTTAGAGGAACTGGACTCTCATACTATAAAAAAAATTAATTCTCTGGCTCAGTTAGCAGTCAAGTACTATGAACTCTTCTTAGATTCTCTGAGGAACCCAGATAAGATATTTCCTGAAAAACTCGAGGACGATGTCCTTCGCCCTGCAATGGTGGCCAAATTTCACATTGCACGACTATATGGCAAACTTATTACTTCTGATGGCAAGAAACAATTGGAGAATATGCAGAGCTCATTGGAATATTACACATTTCTGGTTGACTATTGCGAGAAGCATCCAGAAGCTGTCCAGGCCATAGAAACTGAACTAGAACTCAGTAAAGAAATGGTTGGCCTGCTTCCAACAAGAATGGAGAGGCTAAAAGCCAAGCTGTCTCCTTTCAGTTAAATCCCTTGTCTTCAGTGAATGGAAATGTGCAATATTAAATGATCTCTGTCAAACATACTCTGGAACAGTTTGCATTCCTTCTTGTTGCCGTTACCATTCAGTTGTCTGCAGCTTGAAGATCCAGCTATGGAAGGCACTATAGAACCTTTTTAAAATTGAGAACTGTCCAGTTTAGTTGCTCATCCATGCTAATGGTATAAACTGAAAATGTAAAGTGCTTGTCCATTGATTACTTGTATAGCATGCTTTCATGTAAATACAAACTCTTCCTTCTGTACTTCCTCCAGAACATAATTCAGTTTCTAAATGTAGTAGTGTACTTTGGATGTTTCTTTTAAAGGAACCTTTTGGATAGCTTGATTGATCCTAGAAATTTTTTCTAAGAATCAGACTTTTAGGCATGCTACTAGAAAGGATTTTAGTCTTTCTAACCCATGCTCCCAAGATTATCCATATGAAAAGGAGCCTTATCATAATTGTGTTCTGTATTTTTGTATGTTGCAAAGTGGCTTTTCTTGCATTGTCGGACATCTATTAGAGGCTCAATAAATGGACTTGCTTGACTAAACTCTTTTTTACTGAGTTCTTCTGATGATTTAATTTTCATTTGAGACTGTGGTTTCAGGCTCAGTTTACCTTAGGGCCAGTGGCAGTCCTCAATCCTAGAGGAAAAGTGGACACCCTTCTTCCCCCTCGCCCTCTCCCTCCAGGCAGGGCTGCGCGAGTTAGTGGGGTCTCCATGCACTCCCGTGTGTGTGTGTGTGTGTGTGTGTTCTGGATCTGTTACTCCCAGGTGATTTTAACCCCCCCCCCGCCCCCGGGGAATTTCCACCCCCACCCTTGACAAGGGTAGAGTGGG